AAAAGAATTCAGAAACTGAAGAAACTTTCTAATTCTTATTTGAAACAAAAGAGACACTCAGGCTATTAAAGTAAAGAAAAATTAGCATATTTCACTACCTGCTCTTCCTCCTCTATTGCTCCACTCAACTCTGCCCCACCTAGCATCAGCTTTAATTCATCTTCAATAACATAAGGTTCACTGATTTAAAGAGAAAACATGCAAAGCATATATAAAGCAGTCAATACAAACTTAACAAACAACTAGATTTTGGAAACAAAAAATGTAACAGACAAAAAGGAGGATATGATTTCCTTCACCTTTTCCCTTTTAGACCAAGTAATTTAAGCATTCCCATTGATAAATAAGTAACAATTCTTCCCAGTGGATATGGTATCAAGGAAAGCCATGCTACTGGCCTGACCTAGTGACACAGCAAATGGCATTAGCCAAATAATTTTAATTTGCTAGCAGTCATCAGCTAACTAGAAAAGAGTTAAATAGTAATATAGATCATGGAGTTTCAAAGAGAAAGTTAAAGCTTTTCAGCAAAGTTTTAGTTGGCAGTTCAAGAAGAAAATGGAAACTTGAATGGAAATTGGAAAACTTACCCCAAATCTAGCCACCTCTATGGGATTGTGAACAGCTATACTTTTTGGAGTGATCTCAGTAAGAAGCAAAATACCAACCTGGAATCATCCAGGAAAAATTCAATGATTATGATTTCTTTCAATCTTTCACGTTCTTTTTTTTTTGGAAAAAGGCAAGCTTTTCCATTGCATGAAAACAACATATCTACAATAAACACTCAGTATACCTGGGTTTAACGTATCACCTGCCACTCCAAATTACAACTGCAAAAAGTAAAAAAATTTATTTTTTCTACTTTATTTAACAAAGCTGCTATGCCATTCAGTGTGCACAGATATGTATAGACCAGAAACAAATTCATTTAGGAGAAAAGGAAACAAAAAGTATAAAAAGATCAAAGTATAAAAAAAAAAGAAGAAAAAAGTAGTAAAAATGGAAAATACCCCTTGAAGAAAATAAGCTAAGCTTGTCATGTACCCTATACAAGACATTTTTTTTATTTTCTAGTAAAAGATCAACTCCTTTATCAATAATATAAAAAGAGAAAGATATGCAAATTAATCTACCATATCAAGAATGACTAGCGCCCAAAGGTTTCGATACCCATAATATTGAAAAAAGAAAAATAAAGAATGACCAGTGCCCTAGTGTTGAAACCTAAAATACCAATTCTCTGATTCAAAGGCCCTATGGTCTCAAAAGATCCAGCTCACTTACCATTACCACCTTCCCATTATTATAGAGGTAGGGGGAAAAAAAACACATGATAAACAACTAGCCCACCCACCTTTTGATTATTCTGCAGTCTATTAGAGTTACCCAACATGACTTCTTATTTGTTCTTCTTTCATTGTTTTTGTAACAGTCAACTCTACAACTCAGGTGCTAACTTAAAGAGATTTATCCTAAAACAATTTAAGCATTTTACTCTAATTTACTACAAATTCAAAATGTGTTACATACAAGTACAAATAGAAGCAGGCAATGAGGTTGGGTATGTGGGACACGTAGAGAGGACAGAATTTTTATATACATAGTCATTACTCCAATTGCTGCCCTAACACCAGCTTCTCCAAATATTGCTATTGCTGCATCTGTAACTAAAGCAGTCGCTCCAATATTGACCGTCCTAGTGAGAAAAACAGAATCTAAAAATAAATCACACACCAAAGTTAACATAGACACACAGAACTGGGTCAGTTAAGTGATGATGGGAAAGACTAATATGTAGTGCCAATAAGATTGGTGGTCAAAAACCAGGTTACATCACTGTGAAGCGTTTGAAATACACCATCTTCAGACACTAAACCCAATATTTAAGTCAGCAAATGCCATTGCACAACAACCACAAACTTCATATATTTATCTATACCATAAAAGTTACTGAAATATTAACAATCAATAGCTATGAATGTTCTTGAACTTCGTATATTTAACCTTTTTGATGTTTCCGTACTAAAATTCAGATTTCAATTGCTATTCACTAGTTATAAGAACCATCAATCTTCAAACAAAGAAAGCAAAC